CAAAAACTCATTCTTTAAAAAAAGTAAAAATAATTCAAATTACTTTCAAGTGCAATATAATAACAACAAGAAGTTAATTGAATGTACATCTTGATGGAACATTTATTATGTTAAAATGGTAAGTGAGTTTTTCTTTTTCTAAAAAAAAAAAAAGTACATATATCAGCCTCATAACACACATATCATTCAAGTCACGTGATTTAAAAACGAGATTTCAAATAATTACCTCTCGAATCTTTGCCAATGTGACTATCTTAAGTGAAAATTTAATATGATTAGATCAAGAATCTTACATGTGTTACATTTTTTTTTTTTTTTTTTTTATGTATATTCGGTGCAAAATATGTTGAGCTTTTTTTTCCATCTAAATATGAATCTAATGAGTTATGCCTCCGGTCGGATACAAGGTTACTTGCACCGTAGAAGATCCAGATCCGATCGAGTCAATAAACCATCAACTTTCCGTAACCATTAGCTGAACAAAGCAAATTAGGAATGTTTGACTCTGACACTCTCTGACACTGTAAATCTGCGGCAACTTCTTTATAACTCTTCGTTTTGACCAACGTCATCCCTTTGACTGAATCTTACCCGTCCATCGCCATCTCCTTTTTAGCCTTTGTTTACATTTTATTATTATTATTATTTTTTTTTGGTATTTTTTGGTAATTAGCTGTTGTTTACATTTGCCACGCTTTAACTTCACCATCGTGTTTTAATACCCCTTTATATAAAACTTCCTCCTGTTTTGGAGAAAGAGCACCTCACTAACACCACCAAGTTATACACTAAAAGTCTATAATACCCTTATGTTACAAAGTCTTTTACGTTTTTATTATTATTATTTTTTTGGCTTTAGAATTTTTGGTAAGAAATAGGTTTCCTGATTTTTTTTTAGATTAGGGATCTATAATTTTTAGGAATCAAATAAGGTAATTTAATAAGATATTATGAGACTGTTATAAAGAACAAATGAGAAATCTTAATGAGGTTTTTTTTTAAAATAATAATAATAATAAGTGGTACGTTTTTGTTTTTGTTCTTTTTTTTTTTTTTTTTTTTTTTGCTATACAATTTTTGGGAAGAAATAGGTTTCTTTTTAAATGCGTTTTCCTTCCTCAAAACATTGTCGTTTTAAGCATTTTTTTTATCACTAAATTATGTGGAGTGTTGTCAGCCCTAAATTTATGTGAATTGACACATATTATAACCATAATAATTCAATTTAAGATAATGTAGAGAGATTTTAACTCAGAGGATACTAGTCCTTCTCTAGATGCATAATCTCTACCATAGTAGAGGGGGCCTGCTCATTCGTTCATCTATTCGATTTTGTATCGATTGCAATCTGTCCCATGTTTTAAACGAGGCAAATTGTTAATTCATTTTGAAGTTTTGAAAATTTTAAAAAGTTATGGAGGATTCTCAATTTTTTTTTAATGTTATTGTTATTCTATTTTTATATCATATTTTTCTTATTCGTGCGACAAGACAGTTCATGAAATGAATAAGTTTATTCTTCAATTCTATTATGAAAGTCCATCTATCTAAGAGTTTGAAAAGCTCTTTATTTATTTTTATTTTTTTATTTATGCTTATTTTGTGTTTTAGTAATATATTCCTATTTGTTTTGCAACATAATAATAATAAGTAAATTAACTAGGAAAAAAGATAATAAGTAGATTATCAAAACTTGACTTAAAAAATAAATGAATTTCAAATTCTTAACAAAATACTAAGCAGAATCTTAAACTTACAAACATATGACCAAAATCCAGCTGAACCCATCATCATCAGAGTGTACATAACCAACCCATAGATAGTGAGAAAAAAAAAAAAAAAAAAACAAAAAAAAACCCATAGATATTGACAAAATCAAGGCCAAACTTGACTTTTCATCAATTTGTTATTGAATATATGGTGCCCGGCTGCAAATATAAAGAGGTGTGTGTATATCACCATCATCATCATCCTCGTCGTCATATCACATAGTACTTTCTTCTTTTAACTCTCGTTCTGAGGGCTCTGTTTCGAGCTCGCCCGCTAAGATCGGATCTATTATCTGCCACAAACCCTCCTTACTCTCCTCTTACGCCATTTGTATCTCATTCTCATCATCAAACAAAACAAAATTCATAAGCAATTTTTTTTTTTTCAAAAATAAAAATTTTAAAAAAATCCCACATTTTCCTTCAAATTTTGTTTTGTTTCAGAGAACAGAAGAAACAGTCCGAGAAAATCCCCAGAAAATCTCATACCCCAAGCTCTTTCATGGCCTAAAACCTCAATCGATCGTGTAGATTGATAGATTTTCTACGGTGGGTTGGTGTTAATGGGCAATGTAACGTCGAATGTTGCTGCGAAATTCGGATGAGAAGATAGAGAGCTCGTGTCTGGAATAGTTGATGGGTGCAAAAGCATACATGATGTGTGTAAACATAGCCGAATCTATGTTGGGAACTGGGAACTGGCTGCTGGAATGCCAGTAGCCGGCTTTGATCCATGTTTGTGCCTTTGAACATTTCACCTCCAAAAATGGAAGGAAAAAGAGACGACTCTGTTGAGATTTTATCTCAAAGTAGGATTGAATTATTTAGACTAAGTAATTAATTACCTATTTTAACTAAATTGATTTTATAAATTGAGTGTAACACCATCCATAAATTGATTGAATACAGTTTTTAATTCTCATATTTTATGGTTAAATTTTAAGATGGTATCAGAGCTATCATTGAACCGTATTATTTGAATCTTTTTGAATTTTTCGGTGAAATTCACACGCCCATACACCCATACATTCACGTACCCATACACATACACATACATTCAAACCCATACCCAAACACATACAATCACCATAAACCAGATTCACAGACCCATACCCGCTGTCGAACCGGTGCCCGCGAACCATTGACTCTTACGGCTATCCCAGATCTGTCGAACCGCTGCTGAGGCAATCTTCCGGTGATCTTCCATTGACGACGACGCTGCCTAACCGCTGCACCGTCCATCGCCAGTCACCGATCTGAACTGGATTTGGACTCGCGGCACCAATCTGCGGATGACCCATCACGTTCGCTAACTTCGTTGCTGCTGTCGCCGGATCTGCAGTTGATATCACTGTCGTCGTTCATCAATCAGCTGTCTATAGCAGCCCATCACGGCTGAAGCCCCGGTTCAGCCATCGCCCGCCATCTGCCGCTGTAATCACAGCCGAACCAGCCACCTCTCCGCTACCAAACCGAACCGAGCGTCCTCTCCGCTGCCGCGTCTGCACCGCTGCACCAGATTCATCGTCGCCTGTGGGTTCTTCTCCATCGTCGCTAGTGGATTGTTTGATAATTCCTGATTCATCATCACCGCAAGCCGCTGCTCTCACCCATTTTCCTTGCTTAACAGAGACGTGGTTCTTTGATTTTTTTTTTTATTTTTTATAACAATATATAAAATAATATATATATATATATATATATATATATATATTTATTAAAAAAAAAATGAGTGAAAAATATTTTGAATCATCCGGAGCCGACAAGTCTACTTACAAATGCATTCATAGTCTACTTACAAATGCACTCATTACAACCAGACTGGTCATACCAAAAGTCGTTATTTCAAACTTGTGGGATATCCGGAATGATGGGATCATCGCCATTAGAAGAAAAATTCAACTAAGATCTCTACTGCAGCAGTTGTTAAGACAACAGATAATGGTGGTAAGTTTTTCAATATTTCTACACCTGTTGCTAATAGTGCATGGATAATTGATTTTGGTGCCACAGATCATCTGACATTTGATTCTAGACAGGTCTCACCTCTTAATTCATCCTTACACAAATTTGTTTCTACTACCAATGGGACTTCAACCCCAGTTATTGGGGAAGGATCTCACTGATAATCTACATTTAGATTCTGTTTTAGTTATTCCATCTTTAGATTCTAATCTTTTGTCAGTTTCCCAAATAATCACAGCTTTATTTTATATTGTCATTTTTTGGCCTGATTTTTGTGTGTTTAAGGATATCCAAACAAAGCAGATGATTGGTTGTGGTATTAGGCGAGAGAAACTGTATTACTTGGACTTGATGTCCAAAAGTTTTAACAAGCTACGACAAGCATTAACAATGGATAGTTCTGAGGGGGAGAAAAAGAAATCTGAAATCTGGCTATGGCATCGACGTCTGGGGCATGCTTCCTTTGGTTATCTGAAAAAATTATTTCCTAGTTTGTTTGCAAAATTTGATGTTTCTAGTTTCCGCTATGATGTTTGTGAACTAGTAAAGAGCCACCGTGTTTCGTATCCATTATGTTTACGTAAAATTCCACTTCCTTTTATGATTATACATTCTGATGTTTGGGGTCCGTCCAAAGTCCCTATTGTAGGTGGATCTCGTTGGTTTGTTACTTTTATTGATGACTGTACCAAGATGACCTGGTTGTGCTTGATGAAGTTCAAAGGTGAAGTGAACTTACTATTTCAGAAGTTTCATAAAATGATTGAAACTCAATACAATGGACATGTTCAGGTTCTCCGTAGTGACAATGGTGGAGAATATCAGAGTTTTGACCTTCAGCAATATTTAGAAGCACATGGAATTATTCATCAAACCACTTGTTCCAATACAGCCCAGCAGAACGGGGTTGCAGAGTGAAAAAATTGACACTTGTTGGAGGTTATTCGTGCTTCATTGATAGAAGCGCATATGCCATTATCGTATTGGGGAGAAGCACTTACCTCTGCAGTATATCTAATCAATTGAGTACCTTTTAGCTCTATTGCCTTCCGGACACCATTAGAGGCTCCCACTGATGCAGTAATTGCCCCAACCGTCCCAAATCTACCTCCTCATGTCTTTGGTTGTGTAGCATTTGTACACCTCCATAAACATCAACTTAACAAGCTAACTCCTCGAGCATTACGATGTGTTTTTCTCGAATATGCTACTCATCAGAAGGGATATCGCTGTTATCACCCTCCAACTAAACGAATGTTTATCACAATGGATGTTGTCTTCTATGAAGACTCAATGTATTTTTCCTCTGCGTCTGAACATCAGGGGGAGTACCAGAACGAAATTCAGACTCTAGATTATGATTATCACACTGTTGAGGACGGTGATTCTAGTGTTGATGACTCACAAGATGGACCAGCTAATCAGGAATCGGGCGAATTGGATTCGAGTGGTATAAGTTTGGATCAAAGTGGTGATGCACGCCCAGAAATGGAAAGTATGGCGCCAACCCCATCATCATCCGAGTTTGAGTCCCTCACAACTGATATATCAAACCAATCGCATGCTGAGGATGTTCCTGCTTTAGTGCCTGAGCCATTGAAAAAACAATTACCACAGCGTCACACTAGAGGTATTCCTAAACCCACATATGAACCCAAACTTTCTAGTAAAGTTAAGTATCCCATGAGTCATTATGTGTCGAACCATTGTTTGTCATAATCAAATTTGTCATTTGTAAATCAATTATCTACTGTATCTATTCCTAACAGTGTGTAGGAAGCCTTAGCTGACCCTAGGTGGAAAGTAGCTATGAATGAAGAGATAAAATCATTGTAGAAAAATGAAACTTGGGAACTCATTAATCCTCCACCGGGAAAGAAACCAATTGGATGTCGATGGATTTACACTGTGAAGTATAAAGCTGATGGCACAGTTGAACGCTTTAAAGCAAGATTGGTAACAAGAGGTTACACCCAAACCTATGGAATCGATTACACGGAGACATTCGCACCTGTAGCCAAAATCAACACAGTTCGAGTCTTGTTGTCTTTAGCTGCGAATTTGGATTAGCCATTGCAACAATTCGATGTGAAGAATGTCTTTCTGCATGGTGAATTATCTGAAGAAGTCAACATGTGTGATACCCCCGGATTCCCGAATGCGGGTTGGCCAGGCCCACGCCCAAATACCCGAGGATATCAAAACAAATTGATAATAAACGAACATAGAGTACAAAAGAATAAAGAAGAATAAATAAAATGCTGACAAGAAACTAAAATGATAATCTAATAATAAACCTCATAATATATCTAATAATAAACCTCATAATAAATTTCCATTAATTAATAAACTCTTCTGATACAACTGATCCTCCAAAATACAACTCGGGAATTCATACTGTGTGGACCCCTAGAAAATCCAAACTAAACAAATGGCAACAATAACTGTCTAAATCAGGAAACTGAATCATAAAGGAACTCCTATGTAGCATCGGAAGAATGAAGATCCCTGTTCAGCACGAACAACCTCTACTTCTGACGAACAACTGAAAAATAATGGTGGGTCAGGCCCACAAACAAGTTCTACTCTACTACAGTCCAAGCATAGATCCGATACACGTATACATCCTAGTCAATCCAACAGTAACTAGTAGTCCTTATATATATATATATACACACACTAAAGGAACCTCACTAGACTATAGGGTTGTCTCAACCTGAATAGAAGGCAACATGCAAAACGCACATATAGTGGGCATGAGTACCTAGACCTACCAGGGTATACAACTACACTATATCTAGCTACACATCCCTGGCAATATACGCACCCTAACCACTGATCCTGAGACTCAAGCTCATATCATGGCACCATACGTATATATAAAAAATCTATTAACCATCCTATCCAGTATAAATTAATCCTCCATAAGTCATTCAACTTGTTCAGCTGACCTGACTTGAATATAAGTAGGACTTAACATTTTAGTTAATCCATTCCCTTATATAATAAATTAATCCTCGATAAGTCATTCAACTTGTTCAGTTGACCTGACTTGAATATAAGTATGACTTAACATTTTAGTTAATTCATTCCCTTATATAATAAATTAATCCTCCATAAGTCATTCAACTTGTTCAGCTGACCTGACTTGAATATAAGTAGGATTTAACATTTTAGTTAATCCATTCCCTTATATAAAATAGGTAGGACTTAACTGATAAATTAATCAGTCCCTAGAATGTCACCGTCCCATACCGGTGCATTAAATCACACAATCCAACAATTGATGTCACGATTAAGGAAATACATCAAACAATCCAAAAATAACTATGATAATATGATATCAAGTTATCACAAAATAGGAATGACTTATTATTTAGTTAAGCTTCCTATATCATATATCCTACATAAACTGAATGTTATACATATGATGATATTTTGTTATACCATCAAATAAGCATTTGTTAATCCATTCCCTTATATAAAATAGGTAGGACTTAACTGATAAGTTAATCCATCCCTATAATGCCACCGTCCCATACCGGTGCATTAAACCACACAATCCAACAATTGATGTAACAATTAAGGAAATGCATCAAACATTCCATAAATAACTATGATAAATATGATATCAAGTTTTCACATAATAGGAATGACTTATTATTTCTTTAAACTTCCTATATCATATGTCCTACACAAACTGAATCTTATACATGATGATATTTTATTATACCGTTAAATAAGGATTCTCCATATTCATTTCATCCTATACATTTAATCTCAATTGCTAAAACATATTAAAAGATTAAATCCATTCGTTTGTTTAAAACATTCAAATAGCAAACATCATTACGATTGAGTCTATTTAAATTTATTTAAACCCAAACCTAGTTCCTATTTAATGTTCAGGAATCCTAGGCATGTTTCTACGTTCCATCATTCCACAGATATGAAAAATACATAATTTAAACAAATAAAAATTCACACCGAAAATCAAATAAAAATCATGCATTTATCAATTCATAACACAAGAACAGATATGAACCAAATTCATAAAACCTATGTTCTAATCCTATTAAATATGCATAATTGTTTAATTTTATGTGTTTAATAAATCCTGAAATTTCCTAGTCATGTATAGAAACACGAACCAAAGGGAAAGAGATAAAAGAAGAACTTGCCTTAAACTTTCGGATCGAAAGTTAAACTTCTTCTTCCTTGATCTTCTCTCTACAGGGTTTTTTTTTCCTCTTTCCCTCTCTAACTCTCTCCCTCTAGAATATATCACGTGAATATTTCTAACCCCCTTTTACAACCTATAGCTATATATTTATAGGCTAAATAAAATAATCCTAACCCTTTTTCCCAATCCAAGTCAACTAAAAAAAAAATGAAAATAAAAATATTAAAAAGGTAAGCAAAATATGTTACGTATATAATTTATGTATATGTTTATTAAATAAATAAATTATACACATTCCATTATTTATTAATGGATTATTCAATAATTTTTAAGTTACCATAATATTATAAAGTAACTAAAAAATAACACGTATCAAATCTATGTATATTTTTATTATTTAAATAAACATATACATCAAATTAAATATTACTACACAAATTACCATAAAAGTAATTAATAAATTACTTTCTCTTTTATATATATATTAAAAAGGTAAGTAAAATATGTTACGTATATAATTTATGTATATGTTTATTAAATAAATAAATTATACACATTCCATTATTTATTAATGGATTATCCAATAATACTTAAGTTACCATAATATTATAAAGTAACTTAAAACATAACACGTATCAAATCTATGTATATTTTTATTATTTAAATATAAAACATATACATCAGATTAAATATTACTACCCAAGTTACCATAAAAATAATTAATAAATTACTTTCCTTTTTATATGTATATAATATATATCTATATATATACATACATTATCTATGGGTAATAATCCATACACATCCAACTTCCTATCCAAGTAGTCCATGGGACCCAATTGGTTGGCCCATTACTACTAACCATAACCATAAAAGAAAAATAAATTAAAATAATAAAAGGAAAGAAAACATTTAATTTACAATTTATCAAAACACCATTTAAGCACATAATCTAATTAAACAATTAACACATAAACAAATACAAATAATACATAGACACATAATTAAATAATTAAGTAATACCTAATTCAATTAAACACATAAGCAATTAGTCAATTAATTAAATAATTAAAAAATACAATTAAAACAAATAAATAAATACCGAGACTATCCTTTTAAAATTAGGGGTATTACAACATGGATCTCCCACCAGGATGCATGATATCTGAGAAGTATAGTCGGAAGGTCTGCAGGTTAAAGAAATCATTATATGGGTTGAAACAATCTCCGAGAGCATGGTTTGGAAGATTCACGAAGTCGATGCTAGCCTTTGGCTACCGTCAGAGCAATTCAGACCACACATTATTCCTGAAGAAACAACAAGATAAGATCACTGCACTCATTGTCTATGTACGATCCTGAAGAAATGAAGGCTCTCGAGAAGTACTTGTCCAGAGAATTCGAAACAAAAGATCTAGGTACTTTGAGATATTTTCTTGGGATTGAAATATCTCGATCTAATAAAGGAATTTTTCTATCTCAAAGAAAATATGCCTTAGATCTATTACAAGAGACTGGCATGACAGCATGTCAACCAGCTGAGACACCAGTGGAAGAAGGACTGAAGTTATGTGTTGAGTCCAACCAAGTACTTGCTAATAAAGGAAGATACCAAAGACTTGTAGGAAGATTGATGAACTTAGCACACACGAGACCGGATCTAGCTTATGCATTGAGCATTGTTAGCCAGTTTATGCATGATCCTGGAGAACAACATATGAATGCAGTTATGAGCATTTTGAGGTATCTGAAATCTGCTCCTGGAAAAGGAATTTTGTTCACTAAAAATACTAGTTATCAAAACATAGATGCATATACTGATGCTGACTGGGCTAGAGCTATAGATGATAGACGATCTACTTCTGGTTACTTCACTTTTGTAAGAGGTAATCTTGTTACATGGAGAAGCAAGAAACAAAATGTTGTTGCTCGCTCGAGTGCAGAAGCTGAATTCAGAGGTATGGCGCTTGGACTTTGTGAAACTTTGTGGTTAAGACTTCTCTTGCTGGATTTGGGTTATCTACCTAGGCAACCGATTCGACTATATTGTGACAATAAAGCAGCATGTGATATTGTCTATAATCCAGTTCAACATGATCGTACGAAGCATGTCGAAATAGACAGATTCTTCATTAAGGAAAAGTTGGATGGAAAAATTGTGGAATTGCCCAAGATTCGATCTGAGGATCAACTAGCCGACATTCTCACCAAAGCAGTCTCAAATCAAGTGTTTTCAAAAATTTTAGACAAGTTGGGCATGTGTGACATCTATGCACCAACTTGAGGGAGAGTGTTGAGATTTTATTTTATAGTACAGCTGTAGGATTGAATTATTTACCCCTTGATTTAGGGCTAATTGGTAGGTAATTAGTTACCTATTTTAGCTAAATTCGATTATATAAATTGAGTGTAACACCATCAATGAATTGATTGAATACAGTTTTTAATTCTCATATTTTATGTTGAATTTCAAGAGACTTATGCCCAAGACTTCACTTTCTTGAAACATGTTGCATTCCATTCCAGCCAAATGTGGTAAACCATAGTTGCTAGACCTAATTTGCAAACCTTTATGCCTTGTGCTTCTCGAGCTCCAGTACAGATAGACAGAGGCCAATCAACGCTTTGTGTGAAGAATTTGCATCGACCTTGAATAAACCTCTAAATTGGGGAAACGAAGGAGCATTCAAAGAAGAGTATGAGTATGAGGCTGAGGGAGAGACGGACCAAATGAGCTTTGTCTTTTGAGTTAGGGATTGGAGGGTTGAGAGAATAAAGTTCCACGAGTTCACAAATTCACAAACTTTAATGTCATTTGGGATCCCTGAAGACTATAGGGACAGAGGGCAATTGCTTAGCTAGCTATCATGCCAGAAGAATATGAAGT